CCCGGGGGCCCCAAAGGGGGGCGCGGGGGGGGCCGCCCCCCCCCATTTTGGGGGGGGGGGGATGCAACGCCGAGCCCCTCCCCCCCAAGCCTAAGCGTTGGCTTTGGCTTCACTCCCGCCTTGGGGAAACGATACCAACCAATGTCGCAACGGGTCTCAACGGCCACAAGCGGTTTTGGGAGAGCCTCGTCAACCCGACCGCAATGGTTCATCAAACGGGTTGCGCGGTTTCGTCCCTGCCCACCACGGAGCAAAGGTCTTCCCCTTGCCCGCTTCTTTCCGGCGCTCACTCTGCTCCGAGCGCGGTTGGGGCTCTGGGATGTTGCCGGCGTGGAATCGGTGAATAAGATGAAGGTTTCCGTCTTTCCTCTCCTCCTCCTCCTCCTCCCTGGAGGCAGAACGAGTGAGTAGGGCTGGAGGGGGCCTTTCCGTGGATGGTTTGTGGGGACAGAGGGGGTGCCACAAGGTGGGACGGGAGGTGGCATCTCCTCCCGGTTTTCCCCATGGGATTCCCCATTCAAAGGGGCAGCTTCGCCCCACCACCCCCTGGCCAAAAAGACCCTCTTCTCCAAGCTCCCACCCCAGCCACCGGGGGTCCACAGGGATGGGTTGGGGGGTCCAAGCCAGCCCCCGCCCCCCCACCATAGGTGATGCTCGGCGCCTACCCACAACCTCATCCGATGCCACCGCTGGTTTATCCAAGCCCATCCTCCCCTCCCGCAGCCGCTGCGCCGCGGCCGGTGTCCGCCGACGCCAATTCCCCCCCTGCCCGCATCCCCCCCAGCGCCGAGCACGGCGGCTGGCGTGCTGCGGAGCTTTTAAACCTCGTTAAGAGCGGAGGAGATGGTGAGTTGATTGCGCAAGGGAAGCTCATTTAGGAGAAAGGCAGCGCGGCCTCAGCAGGAGAACATCAATTAAGCGCGAACGGGCTGGAAACATGGGGCTTTTTGAAACAGCGTGGTTGTTTTGGGGGTTTGGGGGTGTTTTTTCTTGTTGTTTGGGTGTTTTTTTGTTGTTTTTTTTGTTTTTTTTTTTAATTTGGGCTTTTGTTTTGGAGGGTTTTGGGTTTTTTTTGAGCTAAAACCGGCTGGAACAAGCTGGGCAAATATTCCCAAGAAAAAACCGCGAAGGACGCCATCGGCGTGGTGGGGAGAGGGTCTCCCCGTCGCCCTCCTCCCCGTACCGGGCTGACCCCTGCTCGATGGAGTCATAACAGCTCCAGGCTGACGCCATCCTTCACCCCTACCGGTCCCTACACCCCACCGGGCGACGCGGGTTTCCTCGCGCCGCAACCGCGCGAGCGGGTTCCTCCCTTTCCTTGGGAACGGAAAGCCTGGGAGATGAGGACAGGGCAGAGGAGGGGACGCGGACAAGGTCCAGGTGTACAAGGATCGGCTGTAAATGAAACTCGGCCTGAAAACGGCTTCTCGGGCTGGGGTGGAGGACATCCGAGGGGTGCTTTGGGGTAGGAGCGGGGGGGAACTGCTGGTGGGATGGGACCGGGGTCACCACCTGAACCGCGGGGGGTCACCACACCCGCGGCAGCAGTGGATCCATGGGAGAAAGAGGGGGAGGAGGAGGTTCTCCCTCTCCCCAGCCCCGAAAAACCCCGTCCTACAGCAACCACCAACACACGCCTCACCCTCAACTCCTTCACAGCAATCCCTGGACGCGCTGAGAGAGCTCCGGACAACACCGCACCCACCACGCACCCCGCAACCACCCCCAGTTCCGATACGGCCACCAGCACCTCAGCAACCGCCACGACACCCACCAGCACCTCTGCACCCACCACGACGCCCCCCAGCACCCTGGCAACCACCACGACCCCCACCACCACGACACCCACCAGCACCTCTGCACCCACCACGACGCCCCCCAGCACCCTGGCAACCACCACGACCCCCACCACCACGACACCCACCAGCACCTCTGCACCCACCACGACGCCCCCCAGCACCCTGGCAACCACCACGACCCCCACCACCACGACACCCACCAGCACCTCTGCACCCACCACGACGCCCCCCAGCACCCTGGCAACCACCACGACCCCCACCACCACGACACCCACCAGCACCTCTGCACCCACCACGACGCCCCCCAGCACCCTGGCAACCACCACGACCCCCACCACCACGACACCCACCAGCACCTCTGCACCCACCACGACGCCCCCCAGCACCCTGGCAACCACCACGACCCCCACCACCACGACACCCACCAGCACCTCTGCACCCACCACGACGCCCCCCAGCACCCTGGCAACCACCACGACCCCCACCACCACGACACCCACCAGCACCTCTGCACCCACCACGACGCCCCCCAGCACCCTGGCAACCACCACGACCCCCACCACCACGACACCCACCAGCACCTCTGCACCCACCACGACGCCCCCCAGCACCCTGGCAACCACCACGACCCCCACCACCACGACACCCACCAGCACCTCTGCACCCACCACGACGCCCCCCAGCACCCTGGCAACCACCACGACCCCCACCACCACGACACCCACCAGCACCTCTGCACCCACCACGACGCCCCCCAGCACCCTGGCAACCACCACGACCCCCACCACCACGACACCCACCAGCACCTCTGCACCCACCACGACGCCCCCCAGCACCCTGGCAACCACCACGACCCCCACCACCACGACACCCACCAGCACCTCTGCACCCACCACGACGCCCCCCAGCACCCTGGCAACCACCACGACCCCCACCACCACGACACCCACCAGCACCTCTGCACCCACCACGACGCCCCCCAGCACCCTGGCAACCACCACGACCCCCACCACCACGACACCCACCAGCACCTCTGCACCCACCACGACGCCCCCCAGCACCCTGGCAACCACCACGACCCCCACCACCACGACACCCACCAGCACCTCTGCACCCACCACGACGCCCCCCAGCACCCTGGCAACCACCACGACCCCCACCACCACGACACCCACCAGCACCTCTGCACCCACCACGACGCCCCCCAGCACCCTGGCAACCACCACGACCCCCACCACCACGACACCCACCAGCACCTCTGCACCCACCACGACGCCCCCCAGCACCCTGGCAACCACCACGACCCCCACCACCACGACACCCACCAGCACCTCTGCACCCACCACGACGCCCCCCAGCACCCTGGCAACCACCACGACCCCCACCACCACGACACCCACCAGCACCTCTGCACCCACCACGACGCCCCCCAGCACCCTGGCAACCACCACGACCCCCACCACCACGACACCCACCAGCACCTCTGCACCCACCACGACGCCCCCCAGCACCCTGGCAACCACCACGACCCCCACCACCACGACACCCACCAGCACCTCTGCACCCACCACGACGCCCCCCAGCACCCTGGCAACCACCACGACCCCCACCACCACGACACCCACCAGCACCTCTGCACCCACCACGACGCCCCCCAGCACCCTGGCAACCACCACGACCCCCACCACCACGACACCCACCAGCACCTCTGCACCCACCACGACGCCCCCCAGCACCCTGGCAACCACCACGACCCCCACCACCACGACACCCACCAGCACCTCTGCACCCACCACGACGCCCCCCAGCACCCTGGCAACCACCACGACCCCCACCACCACGACACCCACCAGCACCTCTGCACCCACCACGACGCCCCCCAGCACCCTGGCAACCACCACGACCCCCACCACCACGACACCCACCAGCACCTCTGCACCCACCACGACGCCCCCCAGCACCCTGGCAACCACCACGACCCCCACCACCACGACACCCACCAGCACCTCTGCACCCACCACGACGCCCCCCAGCACCCTGGCAACCACCACGACCCCCACCACCACGACACCCACCAGCACCTCTGCACCCACCACGACGCCCCCCAGCACCCTGGCAACCACCACGACCCCCACCACCACGACACCCACCAGCACCTCTGCACCCACCACGACGCCCCCCAGCACCCTGGCAACCACCACGACCCCCACCACCACGACACCCACCAGCACCTCTGCACCCACCACGACGCCCCCCAGCACCCTGGCAACCACCACGACCCCCACCACCACGACACCCACCAGCACCTCTGCACCCACCACGACGCCCCCCAGCACCCTGGCAACCACCACGACCCCCACCACCACGACACCCACCAGCACCTCTGCACCCACCACGACGCCCCCCAGCACCCTGGCAACCACCACGACCCCCACCACCACGACACCCACCAGCACCTCTGCAACCACCACGACACCCACCAGCACCTCCGCACCCACCACGGCCACCACCACCACCACACCCACCACCACCAGTGGCACCACCGCAATCTCCACAGCCACCAGCACTTTGGAACCCACCCCAGGCACCAGCACCTCTGCACCCACCACATCAGCCTCCAACACCGCTGCACCCATCGTGACGGCCACCACCACCATCTTCGCATCCACCACGATGGCCTCCAGCACCTCTTTGCCCCAAAACACCACCACCACCTCTCTTACCACAACCGAGAGCAGCACCCCTGCACCCTCCATGGCCACCAGCACCTCGGAACCCTCCACAGACACCACCACGTCTGCTCCCACCATGGCCACCACCACAGCTACCACAACCTCTGCAACCACCACAGCCTTCAGCACCTCTGCACCCAACATGGCCACCAGCACCTCGGAACCCTCCACAGACACCAACACCTCTGCACCCACCACCACCGCTACCACCACC